GGAGATCGAGGAAAATATTCTCCCATAGCGGTATAAATATTGCCTTTCAATAAAAATTTTCAGTGTTAGATGCACGATAATAAGCCCGGTATTTGGTATATTCGCTGTACGAGGAAGGACAATGTCAAAATCCAATTCCGACACTCACATATTGAGAAGATTTGACTATTTATCTTAATATTTTTTAATTTTAATTATTTGTTAGATATGATTTTTTTGAATTGATATCATATCCTCAAAAATAGGTTCAGCTTTAAGCCTTCTTAAACTTCCTTAGTTTGAAACGCATAGGGCCATTTTACCAGTCACTAGTTAACTACTAGGAAAATAGCTGTTTTTAACTCTTGGTTAACTAATGGATGTACATTAATTAACTGCAGTCAACCATTAGTCAAATGAAAAATGGTGGTTTAACATTAGCATATTAGTTAACTAATGACTATGAAAATGGCCCATAATGTCATATTTAATTTATCGTATCAATTTATTTTAATTAAATTTTTCGAACATGTGGCAACCCTCCTGGCTGATATTCTTGTTAAACCTCTTTCTTATGACACCCATAATTCAATATTTACCTTATCTTACCAATTTACTTAAACTCAAATTTTTTTTCGCATTTCGAACAAACGACATTTCTTTCAAAATTTTTGTAACCTTCGCCTTTTGTGAGGTCGGTTTAAAAATACCAAACATTAATAGTTTACAATTATTTCCAAAAAATATGAAATTTCCATTCTCTCCAAAGTGCCAACGCACTGTGGTTCAAAACTGGAATTAAGTGTTTAAAATTCACCGGAGCCTTCATTTTTCACTCAATTTGATTAATTTTTTTTTTATAAAAGCTAATAAAATTTGCAAGATACCAGTTGAGCCCGATTTTTGAATTTTTGTTTGTTTGTAATAAATTTTTTTAGTGCAAAATGCAGAAAAACTAGCAATTGAAAAGTTTTTAATAAAATTTCAAGTCATTTTTTTTTACTTTTTTCCGTTTTTGGAGAATCCTACAATTGTTTTTAACTATGTAGTTTTTATTGTGTAACATTTATTAACTGGAACAGGGGAATCAAGTTTCAAAACAAAATAAAATTTCAAAAATCGGACTCAACTAGTCTCTTGCAAATTTTATTTGCTTTCATTTAAATCTAACTGAGTGAGAAATAAAGGCTCCAGGGAATCGTGAACACGAAATGCTAATTTTGAACCACTGTGCAACGGTAATTGATTACATATTTACTTAGAGTAGACATGCGTACTTACATAGCTAAATTGTCAAGAATCTCTGGAAATTCCAACAGAGCTTTTAAGTGTGCAAAGACTGCATATTATGACGTATGTATGTCACTAATCATTAACAAATGACTAATTTATGGCCAATAATAAAATGTTTGTGTTTTTTTTTTGCTTTAAGTTCAACATGCAATTATCGCTTCCTAAGCACAGCCAAGTGACTAGAAAATAAACCAAGTAAATATATTTATTTATTATTTAGAAAACAAATCTGGGTCTACCATAATAAATATTTATGTACATAGTTAAGCTTGCATGTATGTATGTATGTATGTGGTATCGATCAAGAACTTTAATAGTTATTTGCTGCTGGTAGGCAAACAAGCCGTAAAATACACAGCGCATTACATGAAAAATCCGCTCGTAAAACTGTCAGCCTGCAGAACATATTAATACTCGTTTGACGGCGATAAGCGATTGCAAAGAAGCCACTAGGTACATACATATTATTACCTTCAAAGCGCCATGAAGTGCCATGGCATATTTGACGTTTTACCGTCGGTAGTGACACGGAAAGAGAAGTGAATGTATGAAATGGAAACTGAAAGTGCTATTTGTAGCAGTGAACATATTTTTTTATGATTATTATGCGCTAAATATCAGATACGCGGATCTCTTGAACTTCGATCATATCACGCTATAATTTGTTTGGGTTTTTACGCCGGGCGATTGTGGTAAATAGGAACTAGGCATTATCTGTATGGTTGGGGGGAACATACGGCGGTTATACGAGGTTCGATCGATAAGTACTTATGTACATATCGCACGTTTAATAATATAGAGAATTATTTAAAAATTTTACTTTTGTGAAAAAACGAAATTAAAGTTTCATTAACTCATGCAGTTGATATACAAAAAAAAAAAATATGGAGAGCCACATATCTTCGCTATTTTTGTGAAGTTTAGTTAATTGTATGATAAAAATTCAAATGCTAAATTTAGAATTACATACTCAGTTGACTATCGATTACAAAAGCTTGTATCTTTTACTTTCCTCGTCCCTGGAAATCGTTAGACAATTAATTTTTGGAATACTGAAAAAATTCATTTCATATCAAACCCACCAAAATCGAACATTCCGCTTTTCATAAAAACTGAAATTTTAGTGTACCAAGCGAGAATACATAGAATTAGAAAAATTTCGCAACGAAGAGGACATTGATTTTGTCGAAAAACCATTCATATTTACATAAGACTCTTTCTAAAAACAGTGTTTGGCATCCTTATCTGTTTACTAGCCTTGATTTCTTGTTAGGCCAAAGCCAAGTACGAGTATCTTCCCGTATGTACAAAAGTGTTGTTGACTGAGAAAATAGTTCATTTAAATTTATTTTTGAGTCGCTTCTTATTAAATTATTGGAGCACCGACCTCTTTCCACACTGCACTTTTGCATTCATGGTCGAAAAAACTCGTTCGATAAATACACTTTCGCACGGAATGCAGAAGAGGTTGGCTATTGTTTTTTTGAATTTTTACCGTTAGGCATAAACTCAAAAATTTTCATATATTTGTCACGTACATTTAGCTATTCTTCCTTGCTTAGATTATCGAAAATAATATTTAAGATATCATCTTTTACGTTAAACACATTTGCAATTTCTTTAACTTCATTGATAGTACAAAATCCAGAATTTAAAGATATTATAATTTGGAAATTTTCGTTATCGAACACTCTTCAGAAAAACAATAGATATGTACCATTAATTATTAAATTCAAGTTCAGATTTCTCTTCGTTATCTTCTATTTTTGAAAGTAACTTACGATCTTTATACACGTGGAAACCCTCTTCAAACGTTTCTACATAATAGAAAAAAATAAAGATTTCTTAACATAATTAAGTTTTACTCCAGTATTTTTATACTTCATATAGATAATTTTCAAAAGTATGTTAAAACCCTCTTTGCTTTACTTCATCTGACATTGGGATACATTATATTATACATACATATTTTAATTAACTGATAAATTAAGTTGAATTTGATTTTTTACACACTTGGCAACACTTCTAACTAACTATAGCTCAGAAATAAAGTTTTTCAAACCCCCTTCGATTAATACCCATATCTTATTATTAAATAATTTGAATTTAACTTTTTAAACAGGTGGCAACCCTCTTCAAAGTTATTTCAAAATAAATCGTTTTAAGATTCCTTTTGTTTGACATCCACTATGTTGTAATATTTTATTTAAGCTGTTAATTAATTGATTTCCGTTTTTAAACAGGTGGCAACCCTCTTCCAACATCCCAAAAATATTCTTAGTGTTCAAACTAGAGATTTATAATACTCTTTCGTTTGACATCCATATTTTGATATTTCATATAACTAACTAAGTTAAGTAAATTCGACATTTGAAGCAGGTGGCAACCCTCTTCAAAATATTTCCAAAAAAAAATAAATAATAATAATGATAAATTAAAATTACCTTGACCTTTAAAATGGGCTCAAACATCAAAATTTTGAATTTTTTACCTGAAAATATCATTGCATGGTTTTAAACAAAATTTTTAATACAATTTTCTATTCTTGAAAATGTATTGCTTGACGAAAGAACAGCAAAAATATATGTTTTAAACTATTAAACATTTTTTTTGAAGGCCACTTTAAAGGGGAAGGTAATTTTTTTTACCAAAGCCATTATTTTTCTTGATTTTTCCAACACTTAAATTTTAAATGCCGATACATTTATTTCAGACATTGAGAAAGCGGCCCTTAGGGTTCTACGGTGAACTTTTTTGAGGAGTAATCTTATTGAAATCATTCGAAATTTAGAAATTTTTGAATGGAGGCTATTTTTTTTTCTTCTACATAGTTAAAATCTAGGCAGATATGTTTGTTTGCACCCCAATCGGAAAAGTAGTAATGCATTACATGCGTGATAAATAATATAATAGGGGTATTCTCTGAGTCTTGCAAAGCCCTTGCACGGTGCACGGATTGCACGGTTTGCAAAGCTGTCCCATACGAAAACCGGTTTTTACCGTGCAATCCGTGCAATCTGTGCACCATGCAAGGGCTTTGCAAGACTCAGAGAATACCCCTAATGTATTTCTTATGCGTTCTCGATAATATTACTGCTAACTATGTAATCAGCATTCTAATGTATTCAAAAAGTTACAAAAATTTCATATTAAAACACATTAGGGGTATTCTCTGAGTCTTGCAAAGCCCTTGCATGGTGCACGAGATTGCACGGTATTGCAGCTGTCGTAAAAACCGGTTTTTAGGACGCTCTGAACCGTGCAATCCGTGCACCGTGCAAGGGCTTTGCAAGACTCAGAGAATACCCCTATTCATTTCCCGATGCAAAATTTAATGCACTTAGGACATCGCTCTGGGGAAAAAATGCATTTTGGAATGTAAAAAAGATTGTTTTACTGATTATTTTTTCGATTACGATACATTACATTTTCTCACTGCGACGTTCATAAAATAAGTTCAAGTCTACATACATTAGGGTGGGCCTTAAATGTAGGCAGCAAATTTTTACATCAGCTTTGCGACACGCCTTAATCGACTCCAATCGGAACCAAGATTTATATGTGATATCTATGACAGTGGTGTTACCGATTGAAGGGGTGAGACTGAAAAAAATCGTGCATTTGATTTTTTAAAGACCACCCTAATATACATACATATATACGTATTGACATACATACATAATATAAAATTTTTAAATCAATTAAATTACTCTACCTTCTCATTTCAGGTGCCAGTCGACGACGTTGCTTAAGTATTCTAAAGACCCTTCGCGATCGTCATTTGGACTTGCCCGGCAACCCAGTGACATCGTATCACCTTAAGACATTATTATTGTACGAGTGTGAGAAACATCCGCGTGAAATGGAATGGGAAGAGAATTGTATTGCTGATCGTATTAACGGCATATTCTTGCAATTGATTTCCTGCTTGCAATGCCGTCGGTGTCCACATTATTTCCTGCCGAATATGGACCTCTTCAAGGGCAAATCGCCAGGGGCGCTGGAAAATGCGGCGAAGCAAGTGTGGCGTTTAACGCGAATTATGCTCACCAATGCGCGTTGTTTGGAAGAATTATAAGATTTTCCTGATTTAATTTATTTAATTTACATTTAAGCGAAGCAAGTTACATATAAATATTTAGGTACTTTTAATTTAGCTTGTATTAATGAATATGCTAAAGTGGCTGATTGAAATGGAAAACAGCATAAAAACTAGATAAGTTTCTATTTTAGTTGTTACGTAATTAAAGCATGAAAATTCTGGAAAATAAATTCAATTCTTAAGTTTTATATTTATGTGTTTGTATAAACTGTTAGGGTACCTACCAGTGAATATTTAGTTCTTTTAGTATATATATTCTTTTTTTCATTGTTTTTAAGTGCAACGAAGAAAGTGCCTCCGTGGCACGACGAAAACAACGCAAATGCATTTAGCGCTTAAAGTAAGAGTAGCTTATGTATTAAATATTTAAATCAAAAATTAATTATCCTTCTTGTGAGGTGCTTACTATTACTACATGTATACGGTTACAAGAGTTACATACGCTCTTTATAGGTAATCCTGTTTATTTATTAAGTGTACTTTATAATGTTTTATTATCTATATAAAATTTGACGGCCTTTCTGCTATTTTGCACTTTACTTTGTTAACATTCACTTTATTGTAGGTACTATTCTTTGTAGTATAACTATTTAAACATAATTATTATGGTGGTCCTTAAGTATCCAAAATCATGGGGCAGTCCCTTTATTTTGTTCTACGTTCAAAATAAACATCCATAGAGAATTAAAAAATAAAAAATTAAGGGTTTGAAAAAAATATTTTTTTTATTGAAAAATTCTACAAAATTTAGACTTTGAGCAACTATAACTCAGCGAGTTTATGAGTATTATGAATATATGTCAATTTTATCAGATTTCAAGTCAAAATTGCGTCCTGTTTTTTCAATTAAAAAAAAAAATTCATTCTCTTTATTTTATGCGTAGAATAATATGAAGTGGTGCTTGCCCTGCACAAAATTTAGATGTTTATATTTTCAAAACCAACATAATACTTTAAAAGTTTGTTTGTTTATTTATTATATCTGTAGTAGTTATAATTCAATTATATGCGTGTATGTAAACATAAAAAACACACAAAAATCAAAGGATAATAAAATTATTTTAAATTATTAGTATTCAAAAATCAAGTACCTATGTGTTTATTAAACATGAAAAAAGTACTTAATACCAAGCTAAAATACTTTTTTGTTAGCCCTCTACTAGCGTGCTATGGTTTAATAATAAACCTAGGATTTTGAGAGAGGGCCAAAGTCCACAAAAGCATCTTCCGCAGAGTCGCGTACAAATACTTCTGCTGTTAAGTACCTCCATAGGGTTGGGCGTTGCAACGGGGACTGGTGGATTTTGTTAAGCAAAAAGAGGTTTTCTTTTAGAACGGGGGGATGAGTCCATAAGTAAGCATATGACCAAAGGCAATCCTCAAGGAGGCGTTCCTTCTATTCTATTTTACCTTTGTGCACTTTAAGAACGAATTTTAGCCAAAACGCTTAATTTTGAAAGCAGATTTTTTTTTTGAGTTGTGAAATATATACTCTACGCTCTCGTTTTCATTAAAACTTCGTGGGGACTCTTCTGCTAAAGCATGGAAGGTTGCCAGGAATGTTTGAAGTTTAGACGAGTGCTCTCTCGGAATTTTGTTCCCCTGGGATACATCAGGGACGAGAATGTAAACTGGGCGCTCAGCAACGTGGATATTTTGAGCGNTTCCTAAGGCGGGCAAGGTGTCGCACGTTTCACCAAAGGACTTCAGTCTCTCCTCGTTTCTTTTGAAGAGAGCGTCTATCCTTGAAGCAGCATGCTTACAGCAAGGTCAGCTCCGTTGAAACGGCCCTACACACGGTTGTTGTTAGTACTGAGCAATCTTTTAAAAGCAGGAATTTGCGGTTGTTACTTTCCTTGTTATAAAATAGGCTTTAAATAACATCTTGCCCGAGGCTATCGTCAACTACCTAAATAAGCTAGAGGTCGGAGCCGACCCACATGCTTTGCAACAGAACCGTTGCGGCAGAATGGAGCAGGGCTTCAATCCGAAGATACGTGAGTAGAGGTATTCCGCTGGGTACCCCACTGGGTTGTCGTTAAGGACCTTTTGATGGCTCTGGAGATAAGCGACTGCCGGATGTGAACCCTAGCAAAACGGAGCTTATTATTTTTACTTGGAGGTATACGGCACCGAATTTCCGTCTTCCCTCAATGGGCGGTCTCCCACTAGTGCTCGTTGACAGGGGGATGTATCTGGGCTTGAACCTTGACAGCAAGCTTTCGGCATCGGATAACTACGATATTAAGCTCATTTGGGTTCCGCAGCATAGCGGAGTCGCGGTTAACTGCATGACCGATGAGCTGGAAAGACACGGAAGGTTTAAAGAATTGCCTCTAAACTGCATACCAACATATCGTCAGATTAAAAAGTTGAAATTTTTATGAAAATTTTTTGAATTTTCCTAAATTTTGTATAAATTTTGAAACTGTAATTTATATGGATTTGGTTAAAGCTTATAAAAAAATACCAACAACAAAAAATTCACTCGCAAAACATTATGAATATTTAAAAGAAATCAACATGTGGTCACTTGTTTGAGTCACTGTATATACTCGTAAGTTCCCTAACCATGCAAGCGATTTTATGTTCACCGAAATGACAGCGCTGACATGTCCAACGCGGCCAACTGACTGGTGCATGACATGTTTGGCATATAAATTAAAGCCAACAAGTAATTTCGGCGACACTTAACAATGGCTATAAAGTTAAAAATTGATTATAAAAAGTTGATAGGCACATAGCATGTGGGGGGGGGGGGGGGGGGGTGCATTATCCATTTAGCCGTATGTGTGTGTGTTTTACATTTTTGGGTTTGTGTTATAAATTGTGGCGCATCAACAAAAAATCATGCGAATTTTGTCAATTACGCTCACGTTTGAAGAATTGCAAAAGTTAAACAACAAATTCGATATATGTATGTACCACCTCATTCAAACGGTTAATAATTAAGCGCACATACTTGCGTTTATTAATTAAAATTTATTTGCGAATTTGTCAAAAGTTAAAAGAGAACTGTGCCGACAGTGATAAACGGCTGACGTGCACTGAGTTACAAACACGNAATCATTTCACTCAGGTTACACATACAACTCGATTTTGACTGCTTTTAGGATGCGCCAAGGTGGAAATTTTTATAACGCTTAACTCATCTTCGAGAAACGTTTCAAACTCGCAATAAGCGTTAGATGCTCTAAAATATTCTAAAAATATGTATTTGATAACAAAAATTAAAAAAAGGTCAAACCAAATCACAAAAAGACGCTTATTAATTTAATTTGTTTTTTTTTTTTTATTTGCGGCATCTCACTTCGATGTGCCTCCAGCGCCGCAGGTGGTGAAAACACAACATCACATTAACACCGATGACAATGCAAGCAGGTGAACGAACGATGAACGAAAGCTGAATGGTGATTTTTTTTTATGATCCAAAGTCAAATTTTATTCTTTGTATTTTTAACTGTTTCAGACTTTCAATTTACATTAAATTTAGACAATAACAAATTGGCATTTTTATGATTCGCGAGACCCGAGACCATGTTTATGCTATTATGAATTTTGTTGTTGTTGACATGCACGCATAAACAAAAGATAAGTTACGGTTTGCATTGGATTATTTAGATAAAATGATATTCGAATACAATAAGATTAATTTTACTTTTGTGCAGATGTTAAAAATATTG